TAAATGGGATTGGTTTCTTCATTGCTCTTTCTGATCATTTGTTATTAGTGAAAATGCAACAGATTTCTGAGTATTATTTTGTATCCTACAACTTTACTAAATCCATTTATTAAGATAATCCATTCTAATAGGTTTATTTATTTTCTGATAGGTTTATTTAATTATTTTCTATTTTTTTTATTTTTTTTATTTTCTATATATAGTATCATGTCTGCAAATAGGGATAGTTTTACTTCTTCTTTTACAATTTGGATGTCTTTTATTTCCTTTTCTCATCCAATGCTGTGCCTAGGACTTTTAATACTATGTTCAATGAAAGTGGTGAGAATGGACATTCTTGTCTTTAGAGTTTGGCCATTCTCTTTATTCTTACCTAAATATTTATATAAAATAGGCATTATTTTACCAATATTGCATATGAAAAATAGAGGTTCAGTGAGGTTAAATAAATTATCTATGGTTACCCAGTATGTAAAGTCTATAAAAAGCAATTTATGCATGACTAAGGTATAGTGTAATAGTTACTTTTCAGGGCTATTTTATTGCTTATAAAAGTACATACCAATTCTCTCAGTGTGTTTCCCACTACTGTCAGAGAGAATAAAAAATCCAATAAACATAATAGTTTATGAAAACCCCCCCACACACACGCTCAATATTTTTCATTTTTTTAGAATTGAAGATAAGTTCTATTTCCTTATTTTGTTTAGCAATTTAAGTTTTCAGAATTAATCAGGTGTCTCAAATATTGAGTCAATTCATTCCCTTCCATAGTGTTCTTATATGTAAACAAAGCCAAACAAAGCAATAATTCACCTTTCAAATATCAGAAGTAATGCTATTCTATAATTATACACTACTAAACTTTAAAATAAGAATGGACTTGTACCAAGTTAATCATATTAGAGTAGACTAATTGATTTTAACTCTTACCTTGGCACTGAAAGTGACAGCCAACCTGTATAACTGCAGAATCTATTACAGTTTTAGGGCTTGCAGATTCTATATTTGTTTCAAATGCCATGTTTTCCTTAAGTAGACATTTGTCTTCACCTAATTTATAGGATTTGTCAATTTAGGTTACTTGTATTTAATGTTACCACTTCTGAAGTGGGTTGCACCTTAGAGCTACAGTTCCAGGGTAGTCATGAAAAGAAAAATCTGAGAGTTTAAGACTATGTGAACAAAGATTGACAAAAGTGAGTTTTAAGAAAAGTTCTTTGCACAGGAATGCTATAAATGAATTACATGGTATTAATGAAACCTCAAGGGAATAGGATGGTTTCAGGGATATAAAATGGGGGGAGTTGGTTGCTGGGGTAACAGAGAGAAGAACTGACAGGGGTATCACTACTAAATGGGCTTTTTGTGGAATCTTTACAACTCAGAATGTATTGTGGTTTGAGGGGGAGGGTAGCATGTCACTATTTACTTACTCAAATATTGCCTTATTCCAACTAATACATAATTCTTGGTATAACATGTTCTTTTTAAATTAACTCTACATAAAGTTAATCAGCCATGATAAAATAATCTACTAATTTTTCTTCAGATCTTGGGGAAAGGGAGCTCTACTTTAAAAGTGAAAGGCATGATTTATGATGCAATACTTTGATTTTGTATTTTTTGTCTTTTTCCTAGAGGAACTTGAGTTTATTAACCAATAAATATATTTCATGGAATTTAAAGTGTTTTAATAAATTATTTTATAGTTTACTAAAAACAAGTAGAGTTGCTTATAGCAAAATCAACATCAATTAATAAGTTGATATTTATTGTACTTGCTACTTTGTGGGTGATCTAAAAGCTCTTTGACCTCTAGAAGGTTTGGTAGATAAAGCATGTGGCAAAAGTGAAAAATGATGAAGTGCTAAAAACAAAGCAAGCCTCAGACAGAAGAATTCAGAGAAATGAGAGATTGATATGTGTTTACCCTAGAAATAGGGTTGATGCAGAGCTTCAAGGATAAGTAAGATTTAGAAGCACAAGGGGACGTGGTTAGTGAAGATAAAAGGAAATAATATGAATAAGGCACTGTTGTTGAGTGAATATGTCACATTAAAGAGAAGTGATTCTTTTATGCCTAAGTAGAGCAAAGGTAACAGAAAGTAAGGTTGGAAATGTATGTTGACTGAAATTTGGTGAATCAAGAAAGCACGAAAGAGTATAAGTTTTGGTTTTGACTATTAAAGACAATAGAGAGCCATTGTCAGTTCTTGAGGGGGAAAAAAGCAATAAGTTTAAAATTATGTTTAATAGTCTTAGTTGCAGATTAGAATAATGGAGAAGAGAGAGAATCTAAGATGGCCTCAAGTTAGAATATGGAGTTTTGTGAAGAAGAATCTTAACTGTGATAGTATACTATAATGTCCAAGTTTACAGTTCATTCACAGATACTGCTTATAGAGAAAATACACTGCTAAATTACCGAGTAGAGTCTTTAATGTCTCCTCTTAGGTTACATAGTTTTGTAAATGAATTGGTTATTCTTATCAACAGTTTATTGCATACTTAGTGATTCTTGGATTCTTGGCACTGTTAAAAGAACTCAGAATTTTACAAAACAGAGACACATGAGCAATGTCTAAATAAGGCATATCAAAATATATAAAATCATCCACCTTTGTTCATCAACAAACCTACCTCTTCAAGAATGAGTTGAAATATCACTTTCTCCTTTAGTACTTATTAAATATCCCAGCGAGAAATGACTAGCTCACATGAATTTCTTAATTCCATTATAATTTTTTATTACATCATTTTAATGGTCTTTAGTGTCTTGTACTGTTTTTTCCCTGATCCTTTTTGGGTATAATATTTAAGAGCTCTGGCATTATTCATTTAATAGATGGTGTGTGTCATTTAGATAATAAGCACTTTGAGGATAAATCAAGGGCAAAAGCAAGAGATGATGTTTAATGAACCTGAATTCTTTGTATATTATAGAAAGTAATATTCATAATGAATAAAATAATATTTTTCCATTTTTTACAAGTACTACTGTATTGCTATCATAAATATTCACAATAATTATTACTTTTTAAAATGGGCTAACAGGGACAGTAATAAATTTCCTTTTGTTCAAATGGTCACAATTTAAAACTTTAGGAGAAAAACACTCTTCTATGTGTGAATATGTTTGTATATTCCCTGACACTATATGCTTGATATTGATGATATATGATGTTTTGTGTATAAAATATGTTACACTCTTTGAAAGCTAACGAGTGAAGTAAAGAAACAAGGAAGTGCCCAAGGAAAGTGGCCAAAAGAGTAGAGCTTCTGAGTAGATCTGAAAACGACAGTCAATAACAGGAGAGACTGCACACAATACATACAGTCCAGGGAGACCTGTAGAGATTTTTACAGAATTAAGTGTATTGGGTGGAATGTAAAGGATGTACATGTTAATGGGAAGAGAAGAGAACATCTCAGATATGATAACAGTAAGTCTTAAAAATCAATACACCAATTTAAATGAATTGTCTACACAAATGGGAATTAGTACTGCAGATAATATAAAAAGGTAAATTATTTCCAAACTACTTTTTAATTTAAAATATTTTGAGCATCTAATAATCTGTATTAGTCTCTGAACTCATAATATACATAACATGCATAATATATTCTCTAATGTTCTCGGAACTCAATATATGTTTCTAAATGAAACCATATGTGAACAGCTGTCTTCGAGTTATGAGAGGATGTGTCTGCAATTTGTGTCTTCTGTGCTTAACTTTTCCCTGGAACATATATCACGCTCACAATGGTCAACATCCTGTCTGAGACTATATGAAGGAAAACAATAGAAGAGGAAGCTTATATTTACTGAGATGCACCACATGGGATAGGACTAAGTTAGAATTTCATATTCTTTATCTCATATTAATCTTTATAATAAACTTGTAATATTGGTGTTATCCCCATTTTATAAATGAATCAACTGAGGCTTGGACAGGTGATGAAATGTGTCTAAAGTCACTCAGCTAGTAAGACAGAGCTGGTATTTAATGCCAGGGCCCAAGCTCCTTCCACTGCATTGCACTGGCCTCATGCATAAAATGGTAACTAGCTGAAAAAGTAAACTCAAATCATTATTTTATCTGTATCTTAGTTATTTTGTTTTTTGCTAAATATATTGGAAGTTTGATGGTAAAAAGATATATCTTCCAGACTGTTGCAAAAAACAAATCCAAACTGAATTGCATTTTAAGAACATTCATTTTTCTTTCTCAATCACAATTTCCTGCATTGAGAAATCATTGCATTTTTTTAACATCCTAAGTACACTTCGCAGTGTGAAAAAGCATAAGGGGTTGAAAACAGAAGAGGTGATAACAAAATTAAAAGCAAGTTTTTGTTGGATTATGTGTGATATCAAGAGTTAAATTCAGATAATCTTTTAGTTTATAACCTAAAAGATCCAAAAGCATATATGTACCAGAAAAGTTCTTGGTACATTGCAGACAATATTATTTAACAATAAATATGATACCTTATAAATCCAGGGTAGAATGGCAACTTTCAAATTCTCTCTAATTAGAAATATCAAAGTATATCTTTTTTTTTTTACTACTTTGATTTTGTTACAGATGTTTCTCCTTTTTCCCCACTTGACACCCTTCTCCCCATCCCCCCCACCCCTTCCCCAGCTTTGTTGTCTATGTCCATTGGTCATGCATACATGCATATAAATTCTGTGGTTTATCTCCCCTCCCCCAACCACCCCTCTTCTGGGGTTTGTCAATCTGTACCTTACCTCTATGTCTCTGGGTCAATTTTATTCATCAGTTTGTTTAGTTCATTATATTCCACAAATAAGTGAGATCATGTGATATTTGTCTTTCTCTGCTTGGCTTATTTCACTTAGCATAATACTCAAAATATATCTTCATGAAAATATCCAAGCGAAGATGTTTTGATTGTCTCATTGTATACCTCTTATAGATAAGTTTAAATTGAGATAAAATGAATCAAGTGCATTCATGTTTGTTTTCTAGTGTTCAGCTTCTTGTGGTAAAGGTTTAAAGTACCGTGAGGTGCTTTGTGTTAACCAAGTTCAAGGGAAGTTAGAAGACAAATATTGCAGTCATCTACGGAGACCTCGAACTCACAAAGCTTGTAGGTCTGCCAGATGCCCTGCATGGAAAGCCAAACGATGGAAGGAGGTACGTGGTGTGCTTTATAATTATATACGTTTTTTTGCACTTAAAAAGAACACCTTAATTCATTCCATATGCTTTCAATAACCTTGAAAGTTTTACTCCACTAAAATGTGCTTTATTGTTATACATTTTGGTACTAATCTCTGAGTTAATGCTGTACAGTGTTAGCATATTTGCTAAGTCTGTAGTTAAAACACAAATTAATCATTTAATTTTTTTGTGGCTGAAAACTTTATAAGAAATTCTGTTACTGAATACTGGGGTGGGGACTACTATAATCATTATATTGTTCCAGGTATTCTAACAGTGAAATACATCTGATGATGTATTTAATAACTGCCTTGCTTCCATATCAAAAGCTTGGATTTGAGCTAATGTTGCATCTTGGAAATGGGACTGTTAAGTTCCAGAAGCAATTTTAGCTGGAGATGGAAAGTTAGGTGTCAGAGCTAGGTGCCCAGCATGACTGAGGCTAGGATGCACCCGCACTTGGAAAAATTCAGCAAAAATGAAGCTAGTACACAGGTGACCCCCAAGCTGAGAACTCAGTTTATAAAAGAAGGGCGATGGAACCTGCCTAGGCACAGTCAGGGAAGTAAGCTCAAACATCTAAATTAGGGGAGGCATGCCTTTCAACATGGTTGTCAAGCAAAGACCAGCTTGGGAAATATTAGTCAAGGCCATGAATGAAGTCAGAAACATTAACTAGAATAACTTCCCGAGGCCTGAAATAATGGGGTTTGCCCTTCAACTCAGCCTCCTGGCTGCTCTCAGCAGCACTTTAGGGCGCGTAATCATTTCTTAAAGGGCCTAGTCCTGTAACGGGGGGAAAAAGAGACCTATCTTCTGCTGATGGAGCATCCTTGTTTCTGTTTGATGTTGAAATTATGTTTGTTAGAAAAATAGGGGTTCCCCTGGACTTCTAAGGTGAGTTCAGAACCTTGGTGCCAGGCACCCCTGTATCAACATGTAGTTACTGAGTACAAAAGCTTCCAAATGCAGGGAGCATCTCAGGTTCTTTTGTGGGAGAGGCAGCCTCTGTCCAGTGTTAAGCTACCGACTGTGGTTAACATTTGACTGAAAAGTAGGGGCAAACACACCTCTGGTTTTCATCCCACAAAACATGTGTTCTTGAGCATTTGCTTCTACCTTTAACTTTAGTCAAGTAAATAACACTATTTGTAATGGTTTAGTAGAGGACCTGATTGAAAAGTTCTCCTACTAACCTTTTTTTAGCTGGTGAATGCCACTACTACCTACTAAGTTGTTCAAGAAAGAAACACTGGACCATCGTGTCTTCTTTTCCCTTGACCCACAGTTAGTCACTCAGCAGGTTCTCTCAATTCTATCAAGGTAACTCTTGAATTTTCCTTGCAACCACCTGTCTAGTTTCTCATCACCTGTTCCCAGGGGTACCATGGACTCCTTGCATATATCTTTGCCATTATTTACTCGCATACAGTGAGCTTTAGACCGGTCACTTCGTATCTTTTCTGACCTGCCGTTGTCTTCAGAGGGTTAATCTACACCTAACCCATGCTTACTTCTTTAGCATTGTCCTGGGCCAGCAAATCTTAGAGACACTGGATATCTTGTCCACTAAGCACTTCGTTGAGTATCTAGCCTAATACTTCTTACTTTGAATGCTGCGATTTAATTGTAAAAGGGACTTGCCACCTTGTTATTTGTTGTACTTGTCATATTGTGATTTTGCGTAAAGTGGGGGTTTGCCTCACTTCATCTGGCCTGAGATGTGGCAGAATAATGGCAAAGTAGCTTTCCCAAGAGGGTGGCACACTGTCCAGGCACTGAACCTTGCATGTGGCAGATCACTCCTGGTTCTGACCGCGGGCAGGGGCTGCGGGGGACGGGAGCGGAAGTGAGAGAGACTTTCTGCTTCTTTGCCCCCAGCATTCCTGCGGATCTCCAGGATTCTGCTGCTGCCCGCAGCTCTGTGGTTGGTGCTCAGGAGGGACACTTTTTGACTCTTGACCTCCAGCCCCACAACAGTGAATCAACTGTCAGTGCTAACAAATTGGCCTTGGCTTACCACCAAGTATGAAATTCTGTGAGATTCACCAGAGGAATGTATTTCAGGGGTTTCTAAGATACAGACAGGACTATTCGGAGACTACAAAAACACAGATGCTTTTGTACAGGGTCCGCTTTCTTCTTTTTGAATTGGTTTTCCTTGTCACAGAAATTAGCTTCATACTCCCACACGGTCCCCACATCTCTGCCAGAAACAAACGGCCACTTGTGAAGTTGTTGGCGTTTGCTTTATTCTCTAAAATGTACCCACATGAAGTTAATTAACAATTGCAGGCTGTCATTGCACTACATATAATAATGTATTCAACAGAAGTGTAATTTCAGAGGTAGTTAGGAGATAATCACTGGTTGCTACTTTGCTCTGGCTGCATAAATTGTAACATGGCTTTCATATAATCGCTTACTATAAAATTATTTTATTTTATTACTGTTTTGCATCATACCTCAAATGGAAAGACTTGTTTGCCAAATTGTGACCACAGAGGTGCTCAAATGAGTTTTGAAGTAACACTCTTCATTCGGTACTTGATGATCACTTTTTAATGAAAGGATTTAGTAATGCATTTTAATCACTGCTGCTGAGCAGGAGCAACATTGCTATTCAGGGCCGTTTGCCCTCTGGGTCCAGATGTGTACAGTTAGAGGCGAATTAAACACGGGGCACAATTCTATAACACATCATCCGTACATTGTACTGTGTGTCCACCACCCCAAGTCAGGTCTCCTTCCATAACCATGGACCCCCCACCTTACCTTCTCAACCTCCCTCCCTCCTCCCTATTTCCCTCTGGTAGTCACCACGCTGTTGTTTCTCCATGTTGTGGGTCTTTTTATCCCCCCAATGTAATCTTCATGGGGAAATAATCCACAGTTCTCACCTCCCCTTGATTACGGAAAACCTGCTGGACATCTTAGAAAGGTACCTCAGCAATCTCACTGAATACTTAAAGGATACGCTACTGAACCCAGAACTACGTGACATCAGCCACTTACTGGCTTCTCCTTCTCTGAGACCCATCTTTTTTTTTTCTCTTATACTTAAAGATCAGAGCTGGAACCAAAGGTGATACAAGTTCCAAAATATCACGAATCTACCGGCCAGTGCCCCCTTTCCCAAAGCCCCTGGTGTGAAATAAAAAGGAAACTGTATGCTGAATGCTAGCATGTTTAAGTGATTTTTGTATGTTTTTAATTTCATGTTTTCTATATTTTCAAAATTTTCTGGCGCCTTTGTATATACATCTTCTAATCTAAAAGGAGAGTAAATCTTGATTAAGACCCCCCCAGCCCCTCACCAGAAACCCAGAAGCTTTTCATCTGAGTGTAAAGAGAGGCAAGTTCTGAGCAGACCCTGAAACAGGCCAGCATTTCAAGGCTGAAAGAGAAAACAGTCAGTCAAGAACTTGGAGAGGGGCAGTCGCAGGAGGGGAGAGGGAGCTCTGGACCGGGGGGTTGGAGCACAGAGCCAGGGTGGCTCTGCAGAAAGTGGTCGGCGGTGCTGGGTGTGTGGGGAGTAAGAAAAGATTCGACAAGTTTTTACTGGATTTGGCGATTGGGGTTATCAATGAAATCAGGCTAAGAGATAGTTAAATCATAAATCATCTGTTCAAACCGGACATCGCATCAATTCACTCTTTTATATTCTTATCTCCAGAACACTGAAAAAGAAATGTTATTTGCTTATTTCAAGCAGTTGTCCATTTTGTTTCCTTTCAGGGACGAGGTCCACCCATAGCAGGAACTCTGGTCTCAGTGGATGTACTAAATGCTGTGACCAAAGGAAGAATAGACCACTGTGGCTTATCGGATGATAGAAAAGCCGATGGTCTGATAGAACTTGCTAAGCTGTGTTTTGTGAATTACTTTTTCCAGGTTTTTTTTTTCTCTCTCTCATGTTTAGAGGGAGAAAGTTTTTCAAATATAATTTATATTTCTGAAATTAACCCCAGGAAGATGTTTGCCGGAGCCTTACTTTGTAGGCTAATCATTTTCACAAGAGGTTCAGAAAAGCTAAGCACACAGATATTTTAGTTTACCGAACACTGCGCGCAAAGCTCGTATCCCGCTCTCGCTGTCCACAGAAATGAGCTGTGTGGTTTTGTGAAAACATTCGGTGAGCTGGCTCTGCCTCAGCATGAAAGGAAAGTCCATATAAGTATGTAGATTATATAATGTTCTTCACAGGTTAAAAAAATACAGACTATCTTTCAAGTCAGTTTTTGCTTATACACACAGGACAGAAAACAATTTTAAAGAACCTTTAGACAAAAAATGCTTCACAGTCTGTGAGAGGAATTTGAGTCCCCCAGGTGAACTAAATTCTTAGCTTTTGTGGGATTTCAATTTTCACTCATGGTAAAACCACATTCTGCTGATACATACTTATCGTTGTGGAGAAAGAAATAATTTACTCTGGAACTCCTCCAGAAATAGAGAACTTAATGAAGAACCTGATTTTTTACCCTTATAATATCAGTTGGCAACAGTGATGAGTCTCCAAACATCACTCAGTCCCCAAATGTTCACTCAATGTGACTTTAAATTCCTTCTGGAATAACAAGGAGTATAATTTTTTAAATCTCACAAATTAAGTAACATTAGAAGTTCTCCACATTTCATTAATATTGGCATCATAGCTTGGTGTGGTCAAGCTCTGCTGTTATGTGAACCTGCATACAAAGAGTCCCGAGACACTGCCAGGTCCTTCCTTCCCCCGGGGCAGCCCAGTGAGAGCTCAGAGTCTGCAGTGGGGAAGAACTCGGTTTCAACCCACTGTCACCACTAGCCAGAGGCAGCCACTCGGGCAAGTGGCTTATCACCTTTGCGTCTCGGGGCGCAGCCCTGGTCCCTCCACTATAGAGCTGTTGCCAGGAATAAGTGTCTGGGAGCTACTCTATGAAATTTTACAAATAACACAAAATCTTCATTGTACAGATAAGAAAAATGAGACCCAGGGAGGTTCAGACAGGTTTGTCTAAGTTGATGTTTACACAACCAGCTTCTCAAAACGTGTCCATTGAAATATAATCATGAGCCAACAAATTAGCAAATAATTGGAATGTAACACAATCTGGGAAATTATTGTTTCTTTGAGGGAGGACAGTGTAAGGATTTACACTTTATGTGGACAGTGTAAGGATTTAAGTGATGTTTAAAAACAATGTAGAATAGTTGTATGGTTTTATAGATATTAAGTACATGTAAGTCAGAAGAGAGTGTTATTAATTGGGTTGGAGTATATGGCATAACATGTCATATCACCTGTCATAGTTTCCAGAAGACTTGAATAGATGTTGCAAAATAAAAGTTATTTATACATTTCTATAGATGCTTCACACCGGACAATCTTGAACACACTTACTGCATGCCTTTTCTATCTAATGCATGATCTAATATCAAGCTATATTGAAATGAAACAAGAAACTATGCCATGACACTATTTTGCTCCCTTTCTATAGTTTGATACTTGTGAGCTAACTGCTCAAACCATGTGGGCTTCTTTGTAGTGCTCTGCGACCTGTGGCTCTGGCGTTCAGCAGAGGGATGTGTACTGCAGACTGAGAGGCGTCGGGCGGGTGGCGGAAGAACTGTGTGACGGGTCCACACGGCCCTCTTTCCAGAGGCACTGCTGGCATCAGGACTGCACACAGTACCAGTGGGCGGCAGGAGAGTGGTCTGATGTGAGTATTGACAAGTCCCCTTTCAAAGACACCGCATAAAGTCATGTGTCGCTCATTTCATCATTGCATTCCTAGTGTTTAGCATCATGTAAGAAGAAGGAGACACATCGGCAAGTGCAGTGCATTGATGCACAAAACAGCCAAGTGAATGAGAGTTTCTGTGACCCTTCCACCAGACCTCTTTCAATCAAGAAGTGCAAGAACCTCCCCTGCAAGTATATTGTGGTAACAGGAGACTCGTCTCAGGTAAGGCAAAGAAGGTAGTGGAGAATTTTTGCTCCTAGAAAAAGAAAAACCACCTGAGTCTAAAACATGATGCAGTCTAAATTGGAATATGGAGGCAGATAAAAGGATGCATATTAATCTAAGGAATAAAACTACTGGCAGTTGGATGGTGCAAATAGAATAACAGCAATGTGGATGTTAAACTTGGTGCAGTTCCAAAGTGTCAATTAGTGCCAACTGTGAAATCAACCACCAGGAACAGTTTGGCAAACTGGCCCTGCAGAGTGGCCCACTTTTTTTTTTTTTTTGGTGTGTGTGGGGGGGGGGAGAGAAGGGAGAGATAGAAACGTCAATCAGCTGCCTCCTACATGCCCCCTACTGGAGATCGAGCCCAAAACCCTGGGCGTGTGCCCTGACAGAGAATCGAACTGGGACCTCTCAGTCCATGGGATGACGCTCAATCCACTGAGTCACACCAGCCAGGCAGTTCCCTGTTTTTTTAAATTGCCATCCCCTTCCACCCAGTCCCCACCCAGGCCTTCACCACATTATTGTCTGTGTCCATGGGCTATGCTTATATGCAGAAAAACAGTTTAATTGAGGTATAATTGACAAACAATATGCAGCACATATTTAAACTATACAGTTTGGTAAGTTTTAATATATGGATATGGATATACCCATAAAGCCATTACCATCTTTAAAATAAAGAGCATCTCCATCACCCCCCAAAATTTCCTTGCATTGCTTTGTAATTCCTTCCTCCTTCCCCCACCCCACAGGTAACCTAATCTGTTTTCATTTTAGTGATCTGTCACTGTATTCATTTACATGCTTGAATTTTATATAAATGGAATAATACAGTATATACTATTTTTGTCTGATGCCTCATAAGTATTTTGAGATTGTCAGCTGACAGCATGTATCAATAATTTATTTTTTATTATTGAATAATTTTTCACTATATGGATATCTTTAAGTCCACTAACCTTTTCTTCTGTGATGTCTGACTTACCATTATTTCCCATTCAGTCTATTTTTCATCTCTGTGTACTCTTCATTTTTAGAAATTTGATTTCAGCTTTTTTGTATCTTCGATGCCTCTACTTAACTTTTTGAACATATTGAAGTAATTAATAACTTTTTAATGTCCTCTGATAATTCTGAAATCTGTGTGTGTGCATTTACAGATTAGGGACTTCTGGTATATTCACAAGTTCTTGCAATCATCACCATGATCTAATGCTAGAACATTTTATCACCTCAAAAAGAAACTCTAAACCCACTAGTAGTCACTTCACATTTTCTCCTACTCCAAGTACCAGACAACCAGTTTTTTGACTCTATGGATTTGCCTGTTCTGGACATTTCATGTAAATAGAATCATATAATATGTGGCCTTTTGTATATGGCTACTTTCACTTAGCATGATACTTTTAAGGTTCATCTGTGTTATAGCATATATCAATAATTCATTCCTTTTTATGAATGAATAGTTTTCCATTTTAGGTCTATGATATATTTTCTTCATTCATTCAGCTGTTGATAGACACTTGGATTGGCTTCCTTTTTAACTATGATGAATAACACTGTTAAGAACATTTGTGTAGGACAGAAGATGGCAGCGGGCAGGACCGAAGGGAGGGTGAATGTGTGAGAAAGTGAGCTGGTGTGAGAGAGTGTGAGTGGATGTGAAGGTGGACGACCAAACTCCTGCAGAGACGTGGAGCAGAAGTTTCCTGTGCTGTGGATGGGAGCAGCCGGCTACTGCCCTAGAGAAGCTCTTTAGGGCACTTCTCCCTGTGCCATGGGGAGGTCCCACCATTTTGGAAGATCCTGGGTCTTCCCTTGAAGGAAGAAGTGGGAGCTGCTAGGGCCCAGCAACCTGAGCCCACCAGCACACCTTGCAATATTGGACCATTGGACACACTGTGTCAACACAGACCAGTGCACAGCAGTGGAGTTCCCAAGGTGCAAGTCGCAGTATCCATGGACACTCTGGAGCCCAGCACCATCCCCCACAGTAGCAGCCTGATCAGAGTCGAGATATACCTCTAGCAACAGAGGCTGGAGAGCAGACATCCATCCCCAGGCAACAGAAGCAGAGACTAGCAGCTGAGACCCATCCCCAAATACTACAGCAAAAGCTGAGTAGGAGATGAGCCCCATGGGGCAGCACCACTCCCCAGCCACCAGTGGTGGGACCTGGAGCTCCACAGAGACCTGTGCGACCGAGCAGCTCACAGGAGCAGTGGGAAGCCGGAGCCCCAGAGGGACTGGTGTGATCCAGCTGCCCGCCCACAGGACCTGCAGGATGTGGGGACACCAGAGAGGCCTGTGCGACCCAGCAGGGACTGTGCGATCCAGTTACCCGTGGAACCTGCAGTGTGCGGGGGCACCAGAGAGGCCTGTGCAACCCAGCTGTGCACAAGATAGGCATAGAGGATGTAAAAACGGAGGCAGAGTGAATGGAAGCTACCCAGATGATCTCCCAGGACCAAACGGGAATTACAACTAAAATAAAGACAAATCCTCAGAAAAAAACAACAGAAAAGCAGCAGGACAGGACCAGATAACCAGGGACACTGGTAGGATCTGCAGTGAGAGGGTGGTGGGCTGGGAGCCCAGGGACAGCAGCAGTCTTAGCTGTGAGCAGCACCCTTAGGGAATAAAGACCAAGCCCGCTCCACAGTGCAAAGAGCCGAGACAGAGCGCTAAAATAGCCACAGCCACTCATCTGGGGGCTACAGCTGATGGAGGGCAGACTGGGCTGGAACTCTGTGAGGCCACCCGGGATTTGGAGGGCACTCAAGAGTTTTTGCTGAGTTGAGACCACAAAGGACGGTGTTCAGTGAGCTCCTTCCCTGAGCTGTGGGGAAAAGCAGCACCCCACCTCCTCTAAGATTCTGCTTTTCCCAGGTGAGGCAAAGAAATGCAAATTGAGGCTCATTAACAACCAGCATCTATCCCACCCTCTGGAAATCCTCTTATGCAGAACAACGCCAGGGCTACATTCCAAGGCCATGAGTAATTGAGACTACTAGCCTCCGGAAAAAAGCAAGAGGATAACTGAACCTTTCCTGGGCTTGCAAATCTAGCCAGGAAAGTAAGACTTGACAGTGGTGCTTAACGTGGGCCCACCCAGGCTCATCCAAACCCAGTAGAGGAAACCACAAACAGCAGAACACCAACACCGACAGAGAGAACTTGGCAGGTTCCAACACCCACTGAGATAGCCAAAATGGTGAAACGAAGAAACAAATCCCAAATGAAAAAACAAGAGAACTCTACTGAAGATGAGATTAATGAAATGCAGTTAATCAAATTATCAGAGGTAGAGTTCAGAGCCATGATCTTGAGGAAGCTCAACAGCATGAGTAAGCAAATCAGCACCATGAGTAAAGATACAGAAACATTGAAAACCAACCAAGTGGAAACAAAGAATGATATAGCAGAAATAAAGAGCACATTGGAAGGACTAACCAGCAGAGCAGAGGAAGCTGAGGACCAGATCAGTGAATTAGAAGACAGGGTAGAAAAAATAAACCAATCAGAAAACCAAAAAAAAAAAAAAAAAAATTAAAAAACAGGAAGACAGCTTAATAGAACAATTGGACATCTGGAAGCGTAATAACATTCGCATCATAGGAGTCCCCAAAAAGGAAAAAAATGGGCAAGGGTTAGAGTATATATTTGAAGAAATAGTGACAGAAAACTTTCCAAACTTGGTGAAGGAAGAAGGCATTTAAGTTCAAGAAGCACAGAGAGCCCCAAGTAAGAACCCAAACAGGCCCACACCAAGACACATAGTAATTAAAATGCCAAAAATTAAAGACAAAGAGAGAATCCTAAAGGCAGCAACAGATAAGTAACAGCTTACCTATAAAGGAAACCCCATAAGGTTCTCACCTGACTTGCCAACAGAAACACTACAGGCTAGAAGGGAGTGGCATAAAGTAATCAAGGTCAGGAAAAACAAGGATCTTGAATCCAAGACTACACCAGCAAGGCTATCATTCAAAATAGAAGGTCAAATAAAGAGCTTCCCAAACCAAAAAAGGCTAAGTGAATATATTAACACCAAACCAGCACTGCAAGATATGCTAAAAGAACTGCTCTAATTAGTAGAAGAAATAGGAAGAAAAATAGAACCACACTAAACAAAAATGGCAATGAATAAGTACATATTAATTATCACCTTAAATGTGAATGGTTTGAATGCTCCGATAAAAACACAGAGTAGCTGACTGGATAAGAAGGCATGACTCACATATATGTTGTTTACAAGAGACCCACCCTCACAACAAAAGACTCACATAGGTTGAAAGTGAAGGGATGGAAAAAAATATTTCAAGCAAACGGAAAGGGAAAAAAAGCTGGGGTAGCAATACTCATCTGATAAAGTAAATTTCAAAATGAAGGCCATGACTAGAGACAAAGAAGGCCACTACATAATATTGAAAGGATCTATCCAACAGGAAGATATAACCTTGGTAAAACAATATGCACCCAATATAGGAGCACCAACATATACTCAAAATCTTCTGGAGGACTTCAAAGAAGAAATCAACAGCAATACAATCATAGAAGGGGACTTCAACACCCCGCTGACATCACTGGATAGATCTTCTAGACGAAAAATTAACAAGGAAACACAGACTCTAAAGGAAGCGCTAGATCAAATGGATTTCATAGATATCTACAGAGAATTACACCACAAAACTGCAGAATTCACATTCTTCTCAAGGGCACATGGGACATTCTCAAAGATAGACCACATGTTAGGACACAAACTAAGTCTCACAAGTTCAAGAAGATTGAAATCATATCAAGCATCTTCTCAGATCATAATGGCATGAAACTAAAAATCAATTGCAACAAGAACATGCAAAGACATTTGAAAACATGGAGGCTAAATAGCATGTTATTGAACAATTAATGGGTTACCATGGAGATCAAGGAAGAAACTAAAAGCTTTCTGGAATCCAATGAAAATGAACACACAACACAAAATCTATGGGATGCAGCAAAAGCAGTTCTGAGAGGGAAGTTCATAGCACAACAGGCCTACTTCAAGAAACAAGAAAAATTTCTAATAGATTTTTTAACCTCACAACTTAAAGAACTAGAGAGCAAACAAAAAGAAAACCCTAGAGCAAGTAGAAGGAACAAAATAGTAAAGATTGGAGCAGAAATAAATGACATGGAGACCAAAAAAACAATTCAAAGGATCAATGAAACAAAGAGCTGGTTTTTCGAAAAGATAAACAAGATTGATGGACCCTTAGCTAGACTCACCAAGAAACAGAGAGAACCCAAATTCACAAAATCAGAAATGAAAGAGGAGAAATGATAACTGACACCACAGAAATACAAAGGATTGTATCATACAAATATGAACAATTATACGGCAACAAATTCGACAATCTAAGCAAAATGGACAAATTTCTAGAAACACATAGTCTCCCAAAACTGAACTGGGAAGAGATAGAAAACTTGAACAGATCAATAACAACAAAAGAAATTGAAGATGTAATCAAGACTCTCCCAGCAAACAAAAGCCCAGGCCCATATGGCTTCACGGGGGAATTTTACCAAACATTCAAAGAAGAACTAACACCTATTCTCCTCAAACTATTTCAAAAAATTCAAGAAGAAGGAAGACTTCCAAACTCATTTTATGAGGCCACCATAATTCTAATTCCAAAACCAGAAAAAGACACTACAAAGAAAACCACAGGCCAATATCCCTGATGAACATATATGCCAAAATCCTGAACAAAATACTAGCAAATCGAATCCATCAATACATCAAAAAAATTATTTACCATGACCAAGTGGGATTCATCCCAGGGATGCAAGGTTGGTGCAATATTTGCAAATCAATAAATGTGATACACCACATGAACAGAACAAAAGATAAAAATCATATGATCATATTAATAGATGCTGAAAAAGCATTCGACAAAATCCAGCACCCATTTCTGATAAAAAAGCTCAGCAATCTGGGAATAGAGGAATCATATCTCAACATAATAAAGGCCGTATATGAAAGACCGACAGCCAACATAATACTCAATGGGCAAAAACTAAAAGCATTTCCCTTAAGAACTGAAACAAGACAAGGATACCCAGTTTTGCCACTCTTATTTAACATAGTACTGAAAGTCTTAACCACAGAAATCAGATAGGAAGAAAAAATAAAAGGGATCCAAATGGGAAAGGAGGAAGTGAAACTGTCATTATTCACAGACGACATGATACTATATGTAGAAAACCCCAAAGATTCCATCAAAAATTTACTAGACTTAATGAATTTGGCAAAGTAGCAGGATACAAAATTAACATCAAGAAATTGACGGCATTCTTATACACCAATGATGAACTCACAGAAAGAGAAACTAAAAAAACAATCCCATTTATCATCGCAGCCAAAAAATTAAGATACCTAGGAATAAACTTAACCAAAGAAATAAAGGACCTATTTGCAGAAAACTACAGGTCATTGAAATAAGAAATAGAGGAAGATATAAAAAAGTGGAAGCACATACCTTGGTCATGGATTGGAAGAATTAACATCATTAAAATGTTGATACTACCCAAAGCAATCTATAGATTCAATGCAATCCCCATCAAAATACCAACAACGTATTTCACAGAACTATAACAAATACTTCAAAAGTTCATATGGAACTAAAAAAGACCCCGAATAGCCACCAAACAGTTCAAATAATGACAAGACTGTGCAACGGAATCTTTGAAAGATGTTCAACCCTGTTCTGCCACTTTGGTGGCTGCCAGGCTGCTGGTTCCACCATGTTTACAGAGCTGTTGATTTTCAAGGCTACTGTGGAGCTGGAGCGGGGAGAATGTGGGTAGGGCAAGTTAAAAAGTTCAAAGCTCCCTCTTGTGAGATGTAGCCTTGTTTATTAAATACATGCTTCCTTGATTGCTTCAAGCTTTTCATTAATTTCTAGAACTCTGAAAAAGTTAATTGACAGATTTTGCCAGTTTTCTCATTGCTTTTATGGAGGAGAGAATTTTCAGAGGTCCTTCCTCTGTCATTTTTACCTACCCCTCTGGGTCGCTTTGATAGATGGCATTTTCTCCTTATGGGCTATATTTTCTTGTTTCTTTGGAAAACAGTTAATTTCTTATTTCATGTCAGACATTATAACTTTTACTTTTTATAGTTACTGGATAATTTTTATTCCTATACATATATTTTAGAATGTTGTGATTCTAGTTGTAGTTTATTCTAGAATGTAGTTATTCTGTTTGGACACAGTTTGCCCCTTTCTTGTCTCATTCTTAGACTTTGTTACATTAGACCAGTGCATTGTTTAGGGTTAATTTATTCCCCTCTACTGTATGAAGACCCTTCTGAGTGTCCTACAGATTGTAGAATACATGTATATAAGATTTGCCAGTCTGGCTAGAGGGACCAGACTATATTTGGTCCCACGTGAGCACCAGATACAGACCTTCTAAGTCTTTTGATTGGTTCATTCTTTAGCATCAGTACCTTGAGCACTTGTCAGTTACCCCACTTGTCAGTTACCCCTTTATTTCAGGTAAGAACCATCACATGTTTTATTTCTCCAACGCTGCACCTATTGGAGATAAATTTTCATTCAACTAAGATAGTCTTAGTAGTGTAATGGAAGAAAAACCATGGGCACTACAAATAGACAACCTAGCCTGGATATGAAACCTTTCCATTTATTGGTACAACTCTAGGAAAATTATATAATGTCTCTGAACCTTTGTTATGCAAATGGGGCTAATGAATAGGATTGTTGTGGGGATAAAATTGCAGAGTGTATTTATATTTAAATATTTATGTGTATATATTTGTGTGTGTATATTTATGCATATACATATATAATATATACATATATTATATACATATATAAAATATATATACATATATAAAAATATATATATATCACCTGGTGAATATTAGACTTTGGTTAAGTTTAAGGATATTGTCTCCTCCTTGTAATTATTTTCAGTGTGCTGGTAACTGTGGATTTAGTTACCGACAAAGAATTACATATTGCATTGGGATTCGGTCTACTGAGAGAGATGAACTCCATCAGCTTTGGCCTATAGACTACAAAGAATGCCCTGTGCTGCCTTCACCTCAGGTTTACAAATGCGATCTTAAGAGCTGTTTGCATGTGGCTACTTGGAAAGTTGGAAAATGGAGCAAGGTCAGTGTATGATTATGAATTTATTTATTTTTCTTATTTTTATTTTTTTTTATCCTCACCCGAGCACATTTTTTGATATTTTGTTCAGATAGAGTGTGAGGGAGAGAGAGGGAGAGAAACATCGACATGAAAGGGACACATCGAGTGGTTGCCACCCACACGTCCCAACCAGGGCCGGGGACAAACTGCAACCAAGGTACGTGCCCTTAGCGGGAACCAAACCCAGGTCTCTCTGGACCACAGGCTGACGCTCTAACCGCTGAGCCAAACCGGCCAGGGCTGAATTTATATTTTTATTTTATTTTATTTTTTATTTTTAGAGAGGGAGGAAGGGAGAGGGAGAGAGAGATAGAAACATCGATGAGAGAGAATATTGATTGGCCACCTCCTGCATGCCCCACACTGGGGTTTGGGCCCACAACCTGGGCATGTGCCCTGACCGGGAATCAAACTGGTGACCTCTTGGTGCATGGGTCGATGCTCAACCACTGAACCACACCAGCCAGGCTAAATTTAAAATCTATTGAATGAGACTTTCTAGGTGTGAGATGCCTATGTATCTGCATGTCAAACTAGATCCTAGAATTGTTTCATTCCCCTATTGTCTAAAAACCACTTTGTCAGTTATCTGTATAAATAACTTATCTCTTTTTCTATGCTTCATATAACCTACTTTTATCTATTCTTCAGAGGGCCTTGCATAGTAACTTGCCTTTTGAGTAGCTACTTAACCAATAAATATTTGAAGTGAATAAGGAAATAAATCTAATGAGTAATATGTAATATGTAAGTAGTAAAAGTTAATTGCATTATATTCCATTTCCAATGTAATCAATAGAAAGCAAGTAAATTTTTTTTTCAAACCGCATATAACAATGAGAAAAAACTAAGTAGTCTTAGAAACCAACATTAATGTCTTTTTAATGCTTTTATTGATTTTTCAGAGAGAGGAAGGGAGAGAGAGAAACATCAATTGGCTGCTTCTTCTGCATGCCCCCCACCCCCACTGGGGCTCAAGCCCACAATCCAGGCACGTGCCCTGACCAGGAATCTAACCGGGGCCTCTCAGTCCATGGGAAGATGCTCAATCCACTGAGCCACACCAGTTGGGCTAACATTAATGTTTATCAAGTTGTTGTAATATACTGTTGATAGAACTATACAAATAAATGAAAAGAAGCCAGTAACGGAAAATTAACAGGTTCATACTAATGGCTAAGGATTCTTCCTACCTGCGACTTTCCAGTCTCTAGGGTATTTTTATGTCTGCAGTAGGTCTAGCCATTATTGGCCATCAGTTTGTTCCAAAAGGAGACTTCTGAGAGGAGATATGCATTTACTGGTCTTATTATTTATTATGTACTTTACCTTCAAATTTTACTCTGTTTACAGTGCTCAGTGACTTGTGGAGTTGGGATAATGGAGAGAAGAGTGAAATGCATGGCTGAAAACGGTTGGCCCAGTGATTTATGTTTAAAGCGTTTAAAGCCAGATGCTCAGAAGAAATGTTATATCAATGACTGTAAGTAATAGATTTCAAAAATCTACCTAGTAACTCAGTGTTCCTAAGCATTTTCATTAAAATTTGAAAATAAATATCCTTAATAGTCATATGCTACACAAAATGCTGTGCCTTTTTTAGTATAATTGTATGACTGAGTTAAATTCATGCTGTGTTTGTAATTTGTTCATTGTTGATAAGTTGTATTCACTCATCCTTGAAGGCAAGACATTTACCAGCTGCAAAGAAATCCAAGGGAAAAACAACATTACCAAGGATGGTGACTATTACCTTAACATTGAGGGAAGAATAATAAAGGTATGAACACAATTTCTATTGGATTTTAATGTTGACCACTGATTTTGGAAAATGCTTTTCTAGGTGTTTGCATTTTTTCTTTAGGTCTACTGTGCAAGTATGCACTTGGAGAACCCCAAGGAATATATATCATTGGTCAAAGGCGAAGAAGATAACTTTTCTGAAGTGTATGGTTTTAGGTATGATATGTGTTTTGGCTTATCAGTGCATTTCTTATGGTCCTTCAAGAAAATCAGATGTTCCAGCATTTGGATGGCTTGCAAGTGGGACAAGTATATCAGAAGCAGGTGGACATATCGAGACCTAAGTTAGCTGTTGTCCATGCCTATTCAAAAATAAAGACTTGAGTATTAACATGTACTCACAGAGCAATGGACGAAGAAGGAACTGTGGGTGAGCAGTAGGAGAACAGAAAAGGGGAGAATTTAAGACCTGTGTGTATTTTCACAGAAATCATAGTAATTCCAGTCACAAACGCTAGGAGAACTAGAGCTGAATTATTTTTCCACTGGTCTCAAATTTCCTATTGATAATTGTATGTGTTAACCTTGAAGGATTTTTACTTCTTTCTCATTTAACTTGTAGACACTGTCATATTGAAGCGTGTGTCCTTGCCTTCCATTCCAAAGTTTGCTTACATTGTGGGCCGATGACTATCTAATACTAAAAGTAATCTAATGTCGTTGCAGACTACGGAATCCATATGAATGTCCTTTTAATGGAAGCAGGAGGCAAGACTGTGAATGTACAAATGACTACCTGGCTGCTGGACACACTGTTTTCAGCAAAATAAGAATTGATCTCACTTCTATGCAAATAAAAAGTAAGTGCTGAACCTCAAATGAAAAGCCGCTCTTTGTTAATGAAAGACTACCACTATGCTGGTATCTATAATAGCTAGGGTATAGCCAAGGGCCTACCCTTGTTAAAATATTTTAAAAAGTTATTAGTTACATCCTTCCCCTGCAAATGACAAGGACCTTGGGGACCCTTAGTAAAGATGTTGTGGTAATGATAGTGATAGGATACATGGTGTCCTTCCAAGATCTGACCCTCTACCTTATAATCCCCAATTTCATTAAGGATAAAGTTAATATCTCATCACAATTGTATAAAGTTTTTGCAGGGCTTAGAGCAGTTTCAGATGACAATTTTTAAAGTATTTTCCCATAATTTTTCTCATTTGATCTTTTTTAACAACTAGTTAAGGCAGAATTGCCTCACCTTATTTTAAGTGATGCAGTTAAGATGCACTTAGAGAAGTTGAGTGACTTGTCCTAATTCATAGTCGGTAACTGGGATTGCAAGTAGATCAAGTCCCATTTACAGATCCTGGATGTAGATCTGCCCTCTTTCAGGAAGTAACGTATAATATGGTCTAGTCAAAACATATTTATGAAATCTAATACATACTGAGCACCCTGCTCTCCTGGAGGTTACACATCTATAGGAAAAGGCAAAGGAGTTAGTTTTAGAAGTAGAAACTCTGAATCACCAGTGCTTAAAACCCACCATCATTGCAGTGGGGAAGTGTTATACTATTATGGTTATGATCACGAACTCTGGAGTTAGACTGGGTGGAAATTTTCTGCATCCGTTTAGCAACAGTTATGTGACCTGGGACATATCTCTTTAAGCCTAAATTCCTTTATCTATAAAGTAAGAAAAAACCAACCTTCTTAGGTTTTTTTTTCTCTTTATTTTTTTCTCTTCTTTCTCCCCACCACCCTCCCATTTTTGAGGTGGGGGTTAGTGAGGATTATGAGATAATACTTGTAAAACACCTAGCAAATGCATTGCATATAGTAAATGCTCTATAAATACTCATTATTATTTAATAATGTATGTGTGTCAGGTAATTAGCATTGCTGAGCACATAATGGGCACTCAGTAGTTGTTTGCTCTTTATTAAGCTGTTGATTTTTATTAATTTGTCAAACAAACATGCCATTTTGCCAGGCATTGGGCTGGACCCTGAGGATACAATGTTAAATGGATATATTTTCAACTTCCTAGTCTCTCTTTTCCATCCTCAAACGTATGTGACAAAAGTCCTGCCTTGATTAAATTAACCTTTCACTGACTCAGCACTTGTACCATGAATCTTCTGAGTGGCAGATAATACACTGCGCTTATGGCTGGTCTCACTTTAAATGCATGACTACTGAGCTCACAGGGACCCTTCATGCTTCTGAGTAATCCTATTGCACTTCCCTAGTTCATTCCCTTCCCCGCTCTCCTAAATGTCTAACTCACATCTCTTCTAGCTGCAAACTTATAAACTTGCTAATACTCCCCTCTAGTCACGTATTGCTAATGATCTTATTTCCTATCTCACTGAGAAAATAAGAGCCAAAAGGGAATTTCCACCAGCTACCACTGCCACTTCCGCTAACCCACCTAAATGTTCACCTACAGACTTGGCCTTCTAACCTGGTTACAGCGGATGAATCATTCCCATGCCCATGTAAGGCCACCCTGTCTACTTGTGCTCTAGTCTCATCATTTCACTGCAATAATGTTCCTGCATAGGTACAAACTTTCCTTTCTCTCATATCACCAGTTCTTCCTCCATTTCTCTAAATCCAAAGACAAATTCTTGCTTTCCATCTAACTTAATCCATCAGCAGCATTTGGCTTTCAGGACACCGCACTCTCATTGTTTTTTTCCTTTTCTGGCTGCTCTTTCTCTCGTCTTACTATTTCTCACCTTGGCTAAGTACTCTTCATCTTCCACAACACTAAGCATTAAATAAGTCATTTCCTTAGGAATCTGATTCAATTTATACATTTCAAATACCACCTATCCGCCTAGCCAGTGGTTGAGTGTCGACCCATGCATCAAGAGGTCACCGGTTCAACTCCTGGTCAGGGCACATGCCCAGGTTGTGAGCCCAATCCCCAGTCGGGGGCATACAGGAGGCAGCCAATCGATGTTCTCTCTCATTGGGGTTTCTCTCTCTCTCTCCTTCTCTTTCTTTCTCTCTCTGAAATCAATAAAGAAAAAATAAAATAAAATAAAAATTAAAAAAAAAAATAACACCTATCCCATTAGATGACAGTCCCAAGTGTTTTTCTCCAATTTGGACTGCTACCCTGAATTCCAATATTAAAATGCGTATTCAGCATATCCATATGAATGTCTAATAGGCATCTCAAACTCAGAGTTGTCCAAAACTGAATCTTCAACATTGCTTTCCAACCATTCCTTCTACCCCCAATTTTTACCATTTCACTAAGTGGCAACTATAGTTTTCTAGTTACTCTAGCTAAAACCTAGTAACATCTTTAAATCCTCCCTTTCTCTCATACCTACATGCAATCCATCATCAAATTCTGTCAAGTGAATCTTCAACATTCATGCTGCTGTGGACTGTACTGTGTTCTCCAAAACGAGTGTGATGAAGTTCTAATCCCCAGTGTGATGATGTTTGGTCATGAGGAGATAATTAGGCTTAGGTGAGATCATGCTGGGAGCAGTGCCCTTATAAAAAGAGGAGAAGCTACGTATCCCTTCCAAGTAAGGAGACAGCAAGAAGATGACCATCTGCCAGCGACGAAGGAGACTCATCAGAACCCGACCGTGCTGGCACCCTGACTTCAGACTTGCAGCTTCTAGAACTGTGAGAAATACACCTCTGTTATTTAAGCCACCCAGTCTATAATAGCTGGGGAAGCTCTAGCTGAGATATATACCAATTTTAATTCTCACTTCCTCACATACTACCTTTTTTTGGTCCATTTTTTCATCTGGTTTATTGCGCCTACAAACTGGTATTCTTGTTTACTCTGATAGCATTCTGGTTCTATTTTACCTTTTTCCCTCTTCTGCCTAGATCCCCTTCTCCACAGAATAGCTAGAGTGATCTTATAAAATATAAGATCATTATGATGATCTTTTATATAAATATAAAATATTATGTCTTATACATCATCTATTTCTTTTTCATATATATATATATATACATATATATATATATATATATATATAATTTTAGCTTCTTAACAACCCTGAACTTTGCTCAAAACTGTCCATACATTTCCCATCTAACTCACAGGAAAATAGAGAATCCTGTCAATGGTCAACAACAGTCAGCATGGCCTCCTACCTCCATTACCTCTCTGCTCCTCTCCACACTCCCCTCTTGCACACTCCGCTCCAGACATACTCTTCCCTTTGCTTTTCCTTCAACACATCATGTATGTCCTCATCTTTGCACTTGCTGTTCTTTTTGAAGACAATTAGGAAGCTAATGCAATAATTCAGACAGAAAGTGATCAGGGCCTAAATTAAGAACACGGTTGAGAAATATTAAGGAGCTACACACACTCTATAGGATTTTCTGACAGAAGGCCTAGTGACATGGAATATTTAGAAACATTTCCAAAATAATCAGATAAATGGTGATAAAGTTCATTGAGATAAGAAAAACATCAAGGGGAATAAGTTTGGAGAAAAAGACAATGCATTCAGCTTTGGACATGTTATAGTAGAGCTATCTGTCAGTTATCCAGGTGATGATGGAAGAGATACTAGCAAAAGATGATCTGAAAATTGTGTCTGCTCTGCCCCAGTGTTAATCATAAGTGCCATGCATAAGCAGTGGTGTGTGGATGCATATTTAACAACCGGCTCTTACCAGGAAAAAGAAGTCTGATGTGTAGTATATGCCATTTTTCATGATGTGTATATTTCCATGGCCAATTTTAAGCTATCAATATGAGCTCACTGTACACGGAGTTGGGAAAAGACATACCCAGTTGGTTCTCATGACTTGGTAACAGCTGACTCTGGCACACCATGAAAGGTATTATTTTAGAAACTGTCCTTAAAGATATGATCATATTTCCATAAATTCTACCTTTAGGGGTTGCCATCATGGTAGCGTGCAATAATCTTGAAGTCCTCTTAAAATGTGAAGTGATATGAAACAACATTAGTGGAGGTGAGAGCCACTGACTGGATGACTATTGGTTAGGATATTATCTAAGTGATTAGAGCAGCTGAACTTTAGGGTATATGTATGTGTGTATATAAATGTGTTTACAGACTATATATATATGTATATATATATATAGTCTGTAAACACATGTGCTTTGTAATAATTTATTGACCTTTAAAAAATATTTTTTCCTGTAATTTTGCTCCTGATCTCATTTTGTCTATTTTATATATTTACTATGATATAAAATATAATAAAGCACTTAGTTTGAAAAACTTCTGGTTTAGTTCAGATATGTCTGTCATTTTTTTCTTCTTTTATTTCTAATACTCACCCAAGGATATTTTTCCATTGATTTTTAGAGAGAGTGGAAGGGAAAAAGAGAGGGGAAGAAACAAACAAACAAACATTGATGTGAGAGAGGCACATCAGTTGGTTTCCTCCTGCATGGTTAGTATGTGCCCTTGACTGGAATCAAACCTGTGACCCTTTGATCCACAAGCAACACTCTAACCACTGAGCCAAATCAGCCAGGGCACTATGCTTATTGATTTTAAGGGCATTTATGAGATGAACATTTTGTATTAAAGAAAAATAATTTGAGAGCCTGATCTACGTTATACACTATAATTGTATACATTTTTGCTTAAATTTTTGAGTTAATTGTATAAATGTATTTAAGAATATAATATGAACACTATGTTTGCAGTGAAGATTGGAAAACATACACTGTCTCATTGCTAAAGAGTTTTATTTATTACATTCTAGCTACAGACCTCCTATTTGCTCAGACGATATTTGGAAAACCAGTTCCATTTGCCACGGCTGGGGATTGCTACAGTGCTGCCAGATGCCCACAGGTATCTCAGATTTGTTATTTGCTCCCTAACTAGGAAAAAAGAAATAGATACTGTTTCTCTTCATTCATTTTCTTGATCGAGCCTGGACGAGGCCCCAGGACGCTCTGTTCACTGTCCCTACCCATCTGCCACCTCCTCTATGACTCTTTTTAGCTGTGACTTACTATTATGAAAAACCTCATGAAAATAATTTTACATTTGGGTTGCAGTGATCTCCTGAATGAGGATATTTACACAGTGTACTCATAAGAAAAAAAAAGGAAATAAAACATGACCTTTAAAAAAAAAAAAGAATATTGCAAGAAACATAAGTAAATAGAAAGTCAACTTCCTATATGAACTTTAGTTCAAAGATTATAGTAAGCTTTGGAGGAAAAGCATTTTTGTTTGTTTGTTTGTTTGCTAATATTGGATTTGTTTGAAAAGTGTATTAACAAGAATTTTAAATTGTTCAGATCCTATTTCTTATTCCATGGTGCTTTATTATTTATCTTTCCACTTGTTGCGTGGAAATAAATGGACATATATTATAAGGAATGGGTCACAAACATGTGATTTTCTATACACTGCTAACTTCCATTCAGCTTTTCTAGTTCTTCTTAAGTTTTTGATAGTTGGTCTTTTTAGGAATTTGTCAGATTCATCAAAGTTATCTAATTGGTTGGTATACATTGTTCATAGTATTCCCTTTATAATCCTCATATATTCCTGTAAGATTTGCAGTCATGTTCTTTAATTCCTGGTCTTAGTAATTTGAGTCTCCTCTCTTTGTTCTTTGTCAATTTTGTTGGTTTTATCTATTTTTCTATTCCTTATTTCATCAATTTCCACTCTATCATTTCTTTCCTCTGCTTGTTTTAAATTTAATTTGCTCTTCTTTTTTCACTGTCTTTAGGTGAAAGCTTAGGTTATTAATGAGATCTTTTTCTCTTTTAATATAGGCATTTACAGCTACACAATCCCACTACTTTTGCTGTATCCTTGAACTTCTGATATGTTGTGTGTATATTTTTATTCATCTTAAAGTATTTTCTATTATCATTCATATCTTCTTTGACCCATTGGTTATTTAAGAGTGTTGTGTTTAATTTACATATTTGTGAATTTCCCAAATTTCCTTCTGTTATTGATTTTTTACTTTCATTCCACTGTGGTTGGAACACATTTTGTAATATTTAATCCTTTTAATCTATCAAGGCTTGTTTTATAGCACAGCATATGGCTATCCTGGAAAATGTTCAATATGTGCTTGGAAAGAATGTATGTTCTGTTGTTGGGTGAAGTCTGTCAGGCCTCATTAGTTTAAAATATCATTTAACTCTTCCATTTCCTTGTTGATCTTCTGCCTAGTTGTTCTATATAATGAAACTTTGCAATTATTACTGTTGAATGGTCTGTTTCTCACTTCAATCTTCTTGCTATATTTACTTTGTACTTCATTTACTTTGGGGTTTTGTTGTACATGACGGCATGTTTATAATTGTCATAATTTCCTAATACATTCCCCTTTATCATAACATGTTCCTGTTTAACTCTAGTAACTTTTGTGTTTTAAAGTCTAATTTATTTGATACTTACTTTTAACCTATTTATATCTTTGTCTCCTGTAGAGAGCACTTTCTTGGATCTGTCTTTTGCTTGTTCAATGTCATTATTGATAGGTCTGGATTTATTCTTGCATTTTAATGTTTGTTTTTTATATGTTGTTTTTGCTCCTCTGTTTCTTCTTGACTGCTTTCTTTTTTATTCAGTGAATGTTTTCTAGTGTAACATTTTAATGTCCTTAATAATTTTTCTTTACTTTTTTGAATTGCTTTCTTAATGGTTATACTTACCATAATCTACTTCAGATTTATACTACATAATTTCAGTGAAATAGCAAAACAGTAGTCTTATATGTTCTATTTCCTTTTTTTGTGTTATGTTTACTAAAGATATACTATCTACATATGTAACAAACCAAATTTTAATAATTACTCTATATATGAATTTATGTCTTTTATAGAATGTGAGAAGAAATGAAAAAAATTATCCATAGTTTTTTAAAGAAACATTTCTATTTAACCTTTCTGATTCTCTTCATTTCTTCCTATAGATTTGATATAATCTGGTGTCAGTTTCTTACTCTAAAGCAGCTTTGCTTCTACCTGCCTCAATTGTACTATTTTGATCAAACATACTACATTTCTACATATTGCAGGTCAATAATATAATTATGTACATGTTGGTTTATATAACTGCTTTTAAAGTCAGTTAAGAACAAAAAGAAATATGCAATCATAGTGTCTTTCATAATTACCTTTACCAGTACTTTTTGGTTGTTTTGTTTTATGTTGATTTGTAGTAATGCCTGGTGTCACTTGATTACAACCTAAATTTTTTTCTTTACTGTGTCTTGTAAGACAGGTCTCCTAGTAACAAATCCTCTCACTTTTGTTTATCTGGGACTGTCTTTATTTTGCCTTCATTCTTAAAAGATTGATTTTCTTGTTATAAAATTCTTGATTTACAGTTTTTATTTTTCAGCACTTTAAATATGTCATTCACGGTCCTTTGGCTTCTAGAAAAACAATAGAAGTCAACTATTTATCTCATTGGCATTCCCATGTATGTGGTCATTTTTCTCTTGATGCTTTCAGATTTTCTCTCTTTATCAACATCTTCACTGTGACATATTTGGAGGTGGATCTCTTTGGAATCGATTGAACTTCTTGGATATGTGGATTAATGCATTTAACAAAATCTGGAAAGTTTTTAGCCATTATTTCTTCAAATATACTCTTTCCTCCTTTCTCTCCTTTCTCTCCTTTCTCTTCTTTCTTGTTGGTACTCCCATTACGCATATTTTGGTGCACTTAATGGTGTCCCTCTCAGTTTATTTTTTCATCCCCCCCCCCCCCCCCCTGTTCTTGAGATTGTATCATCACTGTTAACATATGTTTTTTCAACTTTGCTTCAGAAGATTCTCTGGCGAAATTTTTATTTTGGTCATTGTACTTTTTAATTCCAGGACTGTCCTTTGGCTCATCTTGTACACTATCATACCTTTCTTTATTTTATTTAATCCTCACCCGAGGATACTTTTCTATTGATTTACAGATAGAGTTGGAGGAAGGGAGAGAGACACATTGATTGGTTGCCTCCTGCATGACCCTGACAGGGGCCAGGTATCAAACCTGCAACCCAGGTAGTGCCCTTGACTCCTCAGTCTGCGGGCCGATGCTCCAACCACTGAGCTAAACTGGCCAGGGCTTCCTTTAGTTCTTTGAATATATTTAGAATAGCTGCTTTAAAGTCTTCATCTGCTCAGTTTGAGATCTGAAGACTCTCAAAGTTTGTTTCTGTTGTCTTTTTGCCCTATGTCCCTTTTTACCCTTTCCAGTTGCTTTGCATGTGTCAGATTTTTGTTGTTGTTGAAAACTGGGCATTTTAGATAATATAGTTTAGCAACAGTGGATACCAAGTCTCCTCTCTCCTCTAGGACTTGTTTTTACTTCCCATGAAGTTTCTAGTTTGTCTGCCTCTGTGATACCACACTCAGCTCTTAGCCTCCACTAATTGCTAGATAATTGGTCTATATAAAATTATTCCATGGTTTGATCCCTTTGGCCAGAGTAGTCTTATAAATCAGTCTTTAAGGTCAGGTCAGACCTTAAGAGGAGCTCTTCTTAGGTGTCTCCTTCCCTGTTTCTCTGTTAAATTTTCATTTGAGCGACCACTATCCTTTTTTTAACTGTGCACCACTAAATCTTGTTTACAATAGCACCTTTAGGCTTGAACTTCCCCATGTTTTGTCCCAAATAAGCTTAGTCCCCTTAGAAAAAGCTATGGAACTTTCTGTTCTTACAACTTGATTCTCCCTCAAGGGAGAAACTTTGGACCAATTCTGTATCTAGAGGTAGGGCCCACTTCTCAGAGCAACATCCTCCTCTCTATATGTAGAATACTATGTCACTGAAGGCCCTGGTATTCTTGGCTTGCCCTTCTCAGCATAGAACCTCTACCCTAACAGTTACTTGAGTGGGATGACTCAGGCATTGTGCTCTTGGCCTGCCATGCCTGGGGTAGCTTTTCTGTTCTATGAATAAGAACTGAGTAATAGAAGGAAGATTCAAATTCTCAGCCACTCTTGCCTATAAATAGATCTTTTGTAGCACAGAGATGGGTGATATGAGAAGTGCTGGTGGCTTGCTCTTCTCAGGAAGGAAACTTAACGCTAACGGGGATCTGGGGAGAATAAAGTTCATAGCTGCACCCATCAAGATTATAACTCGCCAGTTCCAGCCTCCCAGGTCCGGGAGGAGCCGGGAACATGCGGCTATCGGTCATTGCCACCATCTCTCACGGCCGCGTATTCTGCCGCCTGGGCCTTGGTCCCGAGGCCCTCATCCACCTGTTGCAGAACTTGTGTACGGGACTAGTGTGACACGAACACATCGAGGCATCATGAAGCTCAGCGCTGAGAAGCTCGTCGACTATGTGAAGCTGGGAGACACCAACCAACGAGCCATGCGCATGGCTGACTTCTGGCTCACAGAGAAGGACTTGATCCCAAAGCTGTTTCAAGTACTGGCCCCTCGGGACCAAGGTCAGAATGGGGGCTCCACGAGAATGCTGCAGATCCCAAATCAGAATAAGCAGGATCGGGCTAAGATGGCAGTGATCGAGTATGAAGGGAACTGCCTCCCGCCCCTGCGCCTGCCTCGCAGAGACAGCAACCTTACACTCCTAGACCAGCTCCTTCTGGGGCTGTGACAGGACCAGAGAGCAAGCATCCACAGCTCCCACTCACGTCAAACACCAGGGATTTTACTGGAGCCAAAGGGTGTGTAGCCTCAGCAGTGCTCATGATCACAGGCCTTTGGATCATTCCATCTCTAAGAACTTTACTTAGAGTTGTAAATGGACAGTCTTAATAGAGCCCAGAACCTGCTTGGGGGCCAGATAACCCTCTCTTTGCACAATAGACAAAATTCCTTGTATGAATATACGTAAGCTGA